GTAAATATATAAAAAATTAATTTTCATTAGTAATATGCATCGCTAAAAACTTCATTTGGACATCTTTAAAGGTGATTTTCTCAATATTTCGATTTTTTTGCACCCTCAGATTCCAGATTTTCAAATAGTTGTATCTCAGCAACTATTGTCCTATCCTAACAAACCAGACATCAATGGAAAGCTTATTTATTCAGCTTGTATAAATCTCAATTTCAAAAAAATTGACCCTTATGACTGGTTTTGTGGTCCAGGGTCACAAATGAGAAACACTGGTTTAATATGATCAGTTTAATTTAGTCTTTTACTCACATTTACACTACCTGGCAAAAAAAAAAAAAAAAAAGTTGGCATCTAGATTTAAATGAGTAAATATGTAAGATCTTAAGATTGAATCATTATAGCAGTGATTTATGTTTCTTGCATGATGTATGTAACTTATGCAGTGCATAGCTTTTTATTTTTCAAACAACTATGTCAGAAGACATTCCAGGATGACAATACCAAGATTCACCAGGCTAAATTTGTGAAAGATTGGCTACCACATAGTCCTGATCTTAATAACCCCATTGAAAGACTTTGGGACGTGCTGGAGGAAACTTTACACTGCCTGTCCAAAAAAAAGTTGCACACTACAATATTTTGTTGGACTGCTTTTGGCTTTGATTATATTGTGCATTTGTTGTGGAATTTTTTCATGCAACATCAAAGCATTTATTTCCATCAAGAGTTGCACAAATTTTTGGCTGAGATCTTGTATTGACAATGGGAGAGTTGAACCACTCTGTAAAGTTGACTCCAGCACAGCTCAGGACTCTGTGGTCGCCAATTCATACATTAAAATGATTCCTCATGCTCACTGAATCACTATTTCACAATCTTGGTATTGCCATCCTGGAATTTACACATAGGTACATCTTCCAACATTGTTGTTTAAGAAATGAAAAGCTACACACTGCATCAGTTAGGGTTAAAATACTTGTTTCAAATCATATGACATGGCAATGATCCAATCCTAAACTCTTCAGTATTTGCTTATATCTAGTGAAAAATACTTAAATATACTCATTTGCAAATGACATCACATGGCTTTTGAAGACCTGAAATCTTTTTTGGGCAGTTTTGTGGGCATAAACACTTAAAAATGTCTCCTTTTGTCTCCTCACAAAACAAAGAATCATATGGCTTTGAAACAACATTAGGGTGCGTAAAAATGTCAGTTTTCATTTTTGAGAGACCTACTCCCTAATACTTATGTCCATAACTTCCCAGCATATTTCTACAACAGTGTTTGTCATTGGGGACTGCAGTCTCACTCCTTGTGATTTTGTCTTTTCCTGAAAAGCACTGACCTTGGCTTCATACTCTTGTGCCTGCTTCACATTCTTTGGGAAGTCAGTGACCAGGAAGCCCTTCCCTTGACGCACAGTAGAAGTCATAGCCTCGCACAATAGATCCTGCAGCGTGTCCTTAAACACACACAGAAGAGAAAAAACAGATGAACACTCACATACAGATTCATTAGAACACAGACACAAACACACACATTAGATTAGTAGTGAAAAGTGTGATGTGTGGGACAACTAAATGTAGTTCACAGCAAATGTTAATGACAGTCATGTTGCTAGGCAACACCACTGTAACATAAATCATCTGATTAAGTCTGAATCTCTCTGAGCCACATGCCAAACCTTAGCAAATAAACACAACAACAAGAGTCTTAGTTAGTGTCTGGAGGGCCTGTCTGCCTATTTTAGCTCCATTCCTAATAAAACACACCTGCTTTTAATTTTTACAGTAACCCTGAGGATTTCAGTTAGTTATTGAAGTGTGTTTGATTAGAGATGGAGCTAAACACTGCAGGTCATTTCCTTATCCCACCCCTTATTTATCCCTATCACTTCTTGTTCTTTGTTAAAAACTGTTATACCTCAGTCATGTAACTCTTCTGAGTAGCTGATGCCGGTGTGATTCTTCTAAAGTGGCAGCGTAGCCAAATGATCTCTCTTTTCTATCTATTTCTGTCCTGACCTGGTCCAGCTAAGTTCTGCACACCATGAGAATTTTCTTTAGCCCTCTTCTTCCCCAGCACCACCTGTCTAGATCTGTTATGGGTTATCCTTACTTTACCTTGCAGCAGCAGCAGCACCATGTAGCCTAATCCCTATAATTCTGAATATATTTTAGCAGTAAACTTGGCTTATGCCAGCAGCAGTGTAGCAGCTCTAGTCTGCCAAAATCAATCCTACTTACCCTTAATTTTTAATCAATAAAATGCTGTTAAATCTATTTCGAGAAGTGTCATGACTTAAAGGGGTCATGACATGATAAATCATATTTACCTTGATCTTTTAATCAATGTTCCCTCTAAGATGCGCACGTGCACTGCTTGTGCAGTGACCGTGCAGAAGAAATAATATGCCACGCACAGGACAGAAGCAAAAATGAGTTGGGAAAGCCACTTGATTGAATTCTAGTAAATGCTAAATAATTGCAATGCTCGGGGCAAACTGTTATAGAGTTGGTGTCGCTATATTGTTAGAACGGGTGAATGTGGTTTACAGGTTTCATAGAAAGAGAATGATTTGCGCCAAATGAGTCGCTGTAGAAATCGAATACTTTAATTGATTAAGTGGTGGAAATAGTGGATGATGAGCACAGAACAGTAACAAAACTCCAAGATATTTATAGTTACACACAGGTGTAGTAGTGTGCAAACTCTACTACATGGGGATGTTTTAGATAACTGTAAAATAATTAACAGGAAACTGTACTATAACAGGACTGTAAAAAAAATGTTTTTTTCAGGTAACCTAAAATGTGCATCATTTCGTTACATCAAATATAAACAGTACACTAAAGTTAAAAGTTACACACTTTTTTGTGTGTGCGCTATAAATAATGTTTCTGCTCAGGTGGCTGAAATGTCCACCCAATAGAGAAAAATTTTGCTCAGCAAGAAAAAAAAGAGGGAACAATGCTTTTAACATATAAAAGGTCTTTGTGCCATTAAAACATCCTGCAAGTTTCATAGCTTAAAATGTTTTCCTCATTATAAACAAAGCTTCTATTGAATTAAGCTCCAAAAACTGTTTGTTTGGCGAATAGTTACACATCATCGTACCACAGTCCCCACCCACTAGCATTCAGTTGCTTAACAGCTGACACTTGGCCACACCAGATGCGAGAATAGAACTCGTTCTAATCACAGACGCTGTCTACACTGGATACAGTAATACAGATGTGTATTCAGTTTCTGATGAACTTCACGTGTTTGAGTCTGCTGACAACAGGACAAATGGAAGAGTGAAACAATGTTCACAGACTTCAAAAGGATCCCAGCATCAGCAACGAGTGGATGGTTGATTTTCAGTGGTGTCCCAGATCGTGTTGGATGATTAATATATGTTTATTCAGAGCATTTGACTGCAGATTGTTTTGTAAATGAGGCACATGATGCTTTGTCTGTAAATGACGGGTTTATATGGATAATGTTGTCAAAACACTTACGTCAAATAGTGAGGGGGAGTTGCTACTATTTCCAATGAAATTATGTTAGCCAATCAAACAATAATTTTTGTCTGCATATATGTAGTTTGATTGACAAATGGAGCCCAGACGTAGTTCAGGCAGACCACGGTGTGACAGCCAGCATCAGCTGATTGTAACTCCTCCCACTACAAATAAATAAGATATATAAGTTCATCCGTACTTACACTTGCCTTAGTCTGTCGCACAGACTCGCACTAAAACAGCTTGAGTCTGTAACGTGTCAAATCAGCTTTCAGTTTCGTTGAAAAGAAGATGCGCTAAATCAGCCTTCGATTCTGTCGCACAGAACAGTTTGTCAGCTTTCGTTCCATCGCACAGAAACACACTAGTCTGTCACACAGAGAAACGCTAATTCAGCTTTCATTTCTGTCGGACAGACGCATTAAGGCCAGTGTCACAGTTGTGACAGAACTCATCGTGGACGACACACGGAAAAAAATTCTACATGCTAGTTTTTCTGCTTTGTGACGCCGTGAAGCGTCGCAGACGTGGCATCGGTTGTCGTCCACTATGAAACACTACACGAGATGAAATGATTAAAGGGGTCATATGATGCGATTTCAATTTTTCCTTTCTCTTTGGAGTGTTACAAGCCGATCACAAATGCAGACAGAGTTTTATGTTAAGCGGCGCGATGCAATGCAACGCAACGTGTAAAAAGACAGTATAAGTCATTATAATCAGTAATTATGTCCCCACTGATTGCAACAAATGCCTCATTTGTAATGGGTTTTAATGTGGTCTCGTCGCTCCGGCCTGACAGGACATCAACAGTATGTGAGGGGCGTAACATTTCCGTCTCACGCTTAAGGGTATTCAGCAAATCACAACACATTGGATAGCTGGCCAATCACAGCACCCCTCGCTTTTTCAGACCGATGAGCTTTGTAAAAATCGACGCGTTTCAAAAAGGCGGGGCATAGAGGAGAAACAATAATATACAGTATGTGGAAAACAATGTGTTTTTTTAACTTTAAACCGCATAAACACATTTCATTACACTAAATACACAAAATAATGTTCTTTTTAGCAGCATCATATGACCCCTTTAAATCTTGCGTCCCGACGACCATTGTCATTTACAAATCCCCACTACACCCTGTGACAAGCAAATCGTGCCAAAATCGTGCTAAAATCGTGTAGTCTGAGCCGGGCTTAAGTTAGCTTTCCGTCACTATACTCTGTCGCACAGACACGTGTTCTCATTCTCGTTGTTCGGCTAAACTGCATGTTTTTAGAAAACGTGCTGTTGATCAAAGCTTTTTGTGTATTATTGGAAACATACTTGTTGTTCGAAGCTTTTGTTTATTGCCAATAGCTTGCAGTTAAGGGGACAATGATCGCCTATCTTGAAGTAAGCTAGCTGTTATACTCTGTTTTGTTGGGGGGGGTTAGCCTCACCAATCACATACCAGTGAACTGTTTTCCCAATTATAATTGAAATATGCTTTCTCCGCTACACTGAGACAAGGGATGTAAGATCTCTGTAAGATTGGACAGAGAATCAGTAGGGCATAGACTAAGACTGATCCATGAGAGTGGGAGGTGCACTTACCAATGTTCCAATGTTGATGGTTGGAGGACAACTGATTGAGGATGTGCAGCAGTTTATCTAAGTTGCGAGCATAGTGGTCACTGATGGAGGGACAGAGGCAGAGTAATGAGCTACTCCCTTTAATATCAAGGCTACTCCCTTTAATACCACCTCTTCCAACAGTTCTTATTGATCTTAGAATCGTACATACTACGTCATTGTGTTGAGGGTTTCAAATGTCAGTGAGGTTTGCTTGTGACCAGCTCAGAATCTGAACCCTTCAGAGCAAAGCCTGCTGCCAAAATAATGTTCAGGACCTCTACAATAATCTTAATCAGACAGAGTGGTCCTGACAAATACATTTGTTTTTGTTGTCATGAATTCTTTAACTGTAATAATGGCAAAAAAAGAAAAGATTTTTCCGGATATGCTCTTAAAAGTTGACAATATTAAATTTTAACGGATAAACACTTTTCAGTTTTACAGTTTTTCTCTTCTGGGAAAATGGACCAAAAATAAAATTGTATTTGGCCATTGCTCACTGGTCCGCAATCCTGATCCACAACTGTTATTAGCTATCTGACTGGATGTTATTGTTGTTGTTATTCTCTCTTTCAATTTGGACAGATAGTTATTCTTCTTTGGGAAATGGACAGATTTTGTCCAATGCTCTCTAGCTTAAACTGTCTGCTTTCACTAAATTATAATTGCCACCTGCCTCCAACTAGCACCAGGGAGTTGAACATTGGGGTTTGTCCGTGTGTTTTCAGTTGTGCTATATTTCTACTGTCTTTGACTGTGCTCACACTTCATTTATTTCCCAAAAGCCTATTGTTTGAGAAGTACATTGATTATTTTTGTGCCTGTCATGTGGTTTTTCTAATAGACTGCTTTTTTAAAGGAAGACCTTAGATGTCCCAGCACAACTTCCTGTTTCAATAGGAAATGTGTCGATCCAGGAAAGACAACTGTAAGTGCAAATTAATTTACATTTACAAGTGGTATGAAATAGTGTGTATTCCTGTGTTTGTTTCATAAGTGTTAAACCCAGGGAAGGTGAAGCTGATCATTGTAATTTTCGGTAATGGACTTTGACAAGATTGTGCACCTCGGGAAGCTGCTCTCCTCTTTCCAAAAGGTCTCGGAGAAACCGTCCTCTCTCGCTGTGAGACTGCAACTCGCTGCACAGGATGTCCCCAGGACTCAGGCGCTTCAAACTGTACCGCTCCTCTATCTTTTCCGATTGGAGAGCTTTCCCCGATCCCGGCCCACCTGGTCAGAATGAGAAAGTTGAGAACAGATCTATAATGAAAAGCTGTAAATAAAATGGATGGGAAAGTTTGTTCTAAATAGTGGGGAACAAGGGCCAGATCGTCAGTAATTGACTGTCTTGGGATCTTATGGTCTGTACATCACACTATGCGCTGGCCCACCCCGACCCTGCCATCTGACTGAACTCCCACAGGCTTTCATTAAGATTCTGCACACAGCTCAGGCGCCCCTTATCTATTCAAACAGTCCACAGGCAGACTTCCCAAGGGTTAACGTCTCCTACACAGCCAACAGCTGTTGTCTATAACACTGATGACGAGGATGTGGTAAGCATATTTCAAACTTGTAAGAATGCTTCTGAAAAATAAAAAATAAATAAAACAAAGCATCAAAGCAAACAAAAACAATGAGTGGAAGCATACTTCATTAATTGCTTGGACTCTGTTTACTGGATGGTCCTGCCCACCGATAAATCTCATTGGTTCAAAATCAATGCTTTATAGTTGCATTGCTATCTGATTAAATGTTACAATTGTTGATATTTTCACTTTTAGTGTAAGGTGACAAATGACTTCAAAGGCCAATAACGGTGTTACTAATACCTCTGTATTTTTTTTTTATAATTGTCTAAGGATAAAATAATTATTTTTAGCCATTCACCATTATAGCCATTTTTTTAAACATTAAATAGGCCTAATCTGTTTTTATTTATCTCATGCTTCCGTTCTAAATGTTTTAGGGTCGATTTTGAAGGGGTCATGAAATGAGAAATGAAAATTCCCTTGATCTTTTGATATACAAGAGGTCAAAAGTTTCAGAACTCAAAACTTTTTCGTTAGTCTAAAACCAGCTTATATTGAAGCCAATCTGCCAAAACGACAGGTTGTGAAATGTGCCACTTTATGACATAATAGTGTGGCTAAATCCCGCCTCCGGAGAAGAAGATCAAAGCCTACTTCTACATCACTGCCTGTTTAGCCCCGCCCACTGATTCGTGCATGTAGTGTAAATAACAAGAGAGTCAAATGCAGGTCTACACAGAAACCAAACGATTAAGATGACTCCGAAGACAACAAGACGCTGTGCAGTGCCAAACTTTGGACAAACACAGTCTTTGCATCGCCTTCCTTCTGATCCTAACATTAAGAAAGAGTTGGATGAACTTTATTTTTAATGAAGTTCCAGATTGTGTCAGTAAGAACTTGGTCCTTTGTTCACTTAATTTTACCGCAGATTAGTTTACAAACAAGGCACAATTCAACACAGGGTTTTCGGAAAGATTGAAACTAAAAGTCGATGCTGTGACGATTATATTGGATCCGACAGTAATGTCGCACCACACAAGCGTGAGTAACTGTTTTTATAACATAGTCACTATTGCTTTGTCTGTTATTATAGATCATTTGATTTATGTGTTTTTAACCTAAATCAGCGTCCATCTATGAAGGTTGTAGGCTGTCAAACATAGCCAATCATAGCAGTGGGCATTTATTTCGAGTCTGATGAGGGAGGTCAAAACAGGACAGAAGCCTATTAGCCGATTACTTCTAAATAATGTTTTTTGATAACGCTATGAGTGGACCTCAGAGAACAGTACAAAATAATAAAAAAGGAAAGAAGCCTCTGATGCTCACCAAGACTGCATTTGATCATACATACAGTAAAACACTAATATTGTGAAATATTATCCAAATGAAAAACAACAACAACAACAAAAAGTCTTTATTTGAATATATTTTAAAATGTAATTTAATCATGTGACAGCAAGACTGAATTTTCAGCATCATTACTCTAGTCTGCAATGTCACATGATCTTTCAGAAACCATTTTTATATGCTGATTTGGTGATCAAGAAACATTTCTTATGCTTATCAATGTTGAAAATAGTTGTGATGCTTAATATCTTTGTAGAAAATGTTACTTATTTCAGGATTAATAACTTTCTGATGAATAGAAAGTTATTTGAAATGAGAACCTTGTGTAACATTATAAATGTCTTTACTGACACTTTTGATCAATTTAATGCATCCTTACTGAATCAAAGTATTAATTTCTTCCAAAAAAAAAAAAATTACTGACGTACTGACCCCACAATTTTGAACAGTATAGTATATTAACAACAGTTACAGAACAACATTAATAAAACATATCAGTAATAAAACATGCAGGTCCTGCATCGCCAGCCTTTCAAGGAGCGCTGTTACAGTCAAGCCTGTGTTCCTGTGTCTAGTCCCTTGCTGCATCCCTATTCGCATACTATCCGTCCTAAATAGTATTTGAAATTAGAATCAGTGTGTCCCAAATCATAACATGTTGAAATAAGTATTCCAAGGGTACCCGGATGGTTTACTATTTCTAGTGGAAATTCGAAGTGCAGATCTGTGCACATTTTAACAGCTAATATTGCCCACGACCCATTACGCGTTGAACGAGGATTCGATTAGTAAAAAAAAGGATATGCAAGACTGACGGACAGGTAGAGTAGAGGTTTGAGTGATAATCAATATCTAACCTGACGAAAATGTATTTATATAATGTTATCCATGTTATATTTCATCTGCAACAACATTGTATACTTTTATAAAGATACATTTGGTCATTAACTTTTAAATGCATCATTATGCAAACACATGAGGAGAGTTTGGTTTGAAATGCCACGACTGGCAATTTAATTTCAGCGTGCCTCTTGCGCTTAATCAGCCTCACCTGTCTCTTGTTATTTAAAACCCCAGTGTTTTCCCTTGTTCTTGGTCAGAGGGCCGTTTCAGAAAGGAGGTTAAGTGAAAACTCTGAGTATGTCTACCTTGAAATGAGGGAAACTCTGGGTTTTCCGTTTCAGAATGGAAGGTTTGTCAAACCCGAGAAATCAGGGTAAGTCAAGCCCGTTTCTGAAAGAGATGTAACTTATACTCGGAGTGAGTTACCATGGTGACTTACTCTGTGAACCTAACCTGGGGTGCGTTTCCCAAAAGCAACTATGGTCGCAAGTTCCGTCGTAACCAATAGATTTCAATAGAACTAACTACCATAGTTAGCTAACGATGCTTTTGGGAGACGCACCCCTGGTGCAGGTTTTCTTCGTTAAACCCAGAGTTTCTTTCGGTCTCCTCCCCCTTTTTAAAGCGTAGGCGATGTTTAAATACCTCATTCAATCATTCATTCCCGCTGCAAAAAAATTCATTTCTTAGTGAGTATTTTGGAATATTTTGGTGCTTTCTTACTGTTGGCTGAGTAGAAGTCAAATGTTAATTTCATTACTCTAATTAAGAAATGCAACAGTTTGGATTAGAGCACATTTAATTATGTGAAAAGAGCATTAGACTATGTGGAAAAAGCTGCTGAAATTGACACCGAAGGTTACACTTTACTTGAAGCGGTGTGCATAAGACTGACATGACACCTTCATAATCATGACACGACACCTACATAATCATGACATGACACATGTCATGAATATGAAGGTTTTTTATGCATATTTATGACAACTGTCATTAAGTGTCATTCGCTCAGTTATGTACTTTATTATGCAAAGATGACATTGTTTGAGATGTCTTTGTTATGGGCTATGGTTAGGGGTAAGGGTAGGGGTAGGGTTAGGTCAAATAATGTCATATTTGCATTAAAAATGACATAACTGAATGAATGACACTTAATAACAGCTGTCATAAACATGCATAAAACCTCCTTTATATTCATGACATGTGTCATGTCATGATTATGAAGGTGTCGTGTCAGTCTTATGCACACCCCTTCAAGTAAAGTGTTACCACACCGAATTATATTTATTTAATATGTCAAATGTTTGCAAAGTCATGTACCCTACACTCATGAACCTGTTTTGCTTAAAGCTTTACCTTGATTGAATTATGTTTTTATACTTCATGTTTAGCTGCTTTTTTTTCTTTCGCCTGTAGGATACCATGAAAATTAATATTACTTAATTTACTGTTCTGCCACTTTTTACCTTTGATATTATAACAATGATTAAGAATTAAAGTTACATATTGACTCGGAAGTATGCGGACGTCTTTTTGTCGGGTGCTGTTGCCATGGTGAATCATAATTTCGGCGCTCCATTGATCATGGCTTTTCATAGTCGTGGTGCATGCGCTAGTCGATTGATCTAACTCAATTCAGCCATTCTGGACCCGAAAACTCAGAGTTTCCCATCTCAGGGTAAGTCAACTCAGAGTTCAAGTTTCAACTCCGAGTTGGTTGAACCTCCTTATTGAAACAGGCCCCTGGTTTTTGTCCTTCCTGGATGCTTTGTGTGTGCGCGTGTTTGTTTTGGTTCTGTTTTTCCCTGTGTTCTGTTAATCTCGTTTTGCTTGGGTTTCCTTCAAATAAAATTGCAACTGGATCCTGCATTTTGCTCTAAACAGTCACCGTTATAAGAGTGTAATGGCAACTGTAGCTGATTATACAGTATCTGTGGACCGTCCTCGAAACACAAATACAGCATAACCATACAGCACTAGACACAGGAAGTGGAGTAAAAATGGTGCACAAATTGTAATAATTTAATTATCTTGTTAAACAGTCCATAATCAATCAAAGAAATTAACATTGTTTTGATCCAGTCCCAGATATCTTCCCAGTGGGCAATTGCTGTTGAAAAGACATCAAAATTGATGTTAAAAAACAGGTCAAATACGCAAATCAAAATGACGCCAAAAACTTGACATGACGTTGATTTGATGTAAATTGATCATCAAACATATTGGCCTACATACACATTAAACCAATTTCAGTATGGGATTAACTTCCTATTTTCAGCCAATTACACTCTTAAAAATAAAGGTGCTTCACGATGCCATAGAAGAACCTTTTGGTCTAAATGGTTCCATAAAGAACCTTTAACATCTGAAGAACCTTTCGTTTTCACAAAGGGTTCTTTGGAGCGAAAGAAGGTTCTTCAGATTATAAAAAGGTAAGAAAGAAATGGTTCTTTAAAAAACCTTTGACTGAATGGTTCTTTCTGGAACCAAAAATGGTTCTTCTATGGCATCGCTTGAAGAACCTTTTGAAGCACCTTTATTTTTAAGAGTGTACCACTGAAAGAAATTGCCATCCAAACGGAGTTTAAAACGATGTTACAGCATCTCGATCAAGTCTTGACTAATATTTGACGTCAAATTGATATCAACATTATATGATGGGTTATATGCCCAAAAATAAAACAATCTTTTTAGCATCTCTAAAGCTGTTTCTTCTAAACGGCACTGAGATACAATGGAGAACAAATAGAGATATTTGTTCAGGTGTTTCGCTTCTCAGATTTTTCTCCTGATAAAATGAATTTTGAATCACTACAGATCACAATGCATTATCTAGCAATCCTACCCAGTTGCTGTTTGTTTCTCAATCCTTCACATGTGAGCACTTCAATCAGACTTGGATTTATCCTGTTCTTCATGCCCCTTCACTGTGGACAAATTGTTTTATACGCCTGTGAGCTCAAAAAACTGAAAATTGTGCTTTTACCCTGTCAAGATTCTCTGAATCTCTCTATTATATTCTAGACATCTGGGTAAAAAAAAGAAAAGAAATGCTTTCAAAGGCGTCCTGAGTCTGGCTATTAAGTCTAATCTAATTCTTTTTCTGGACAGGTACTACAGTGCAGATACAGTGTTGATAAATCTTTCAACAAGTTTTTAAAGTGTCAGTTAGGGTGGTCAAGTGCATTCCAGAGTGTAATTCACTCAAGCTATCAATCTCAGATCTGTCCATCATATCCAAACCAAAATTACAAGCCTAACTGCTGTAGCAAACTGCTGACTCGACAAAGGACAGGAGCACAGACCGTTTCCACCAGGTTCCTTTCAAAGGACCGCCTATTTGATTTCTTCACATCTCTTTTAACCAAAAAGAGATGTAAAGCTTGGCTTTTAGTTCAGTTCACTACATCCTAGTTGGCTAGAGCTTTTGAACAAACATGAGGGGAGGAAAGCCCCTAGCACACACAGACTCGTACCATCTTGACCGTCTGCTTTCCATTTTCCAGAACATGAGTCATTTTCAGATTAAGACTGCCAACAGTTTCAATTAGAAACCTTATTAGGACACTTCAGAAGCTTTTTACCTGCCCCCAATTTCACAGTTCATTATTCTGCTTGTGCGTCTGTGTTGCAAAAGAAACTTGGTAGTGCGTGCTATTATGTCTGATATATTTTAAATAAGCTGTGATGTATGTACTTTGCATCACAACATTGCTCCTGACCTGTTCTTCTGGGGGAAATGTAGGCACAATAAAACATTGCTTTGAGTGTTTGTTGCACATTGAAAACAATGTGCAATGAAATGATTGTATAATGTGATAATGCAGTATTGTCAGCTAACATACCAATCACAAAGATGACCTTTGATTTCTTGGTCTCCACAGGAAAACCTGGTGGCATATTAAAAAAGAAATTACAAGCAGATAATCAACCTTAGCATGTTAAAATATAGCTTTGTAATGACATGTGGTACAGTTAATGGTGGAAATTAATGACAAAAATTGAAAAAAAAAAATTAAATGCAGGGATACCAATAACAAATACATAATAGTAAAATACAATCTTTATAATTTTTTATTAGTGCCAAGAAAAATTGTCATGACAGTCAGTGGTTATGCATCAGAAAGGTTATACCCGGTTTTGAAAAAAAGTCATTAAGTTTATGGTCTTGACAAATTATTTGGTGTAATTTGGGGTCACTAATGCCGAGTTCACACTGCACGATTTTTCACTCGCCGACAGGTTTTGCGAAATCGCCGACAAATGCCCGACATCGGAGGCAAATCGGTGCTCGTTCACGCGAGCATTGTTGGGGAAAGTTACTTTTAAAAGTAATGCATTACAATATTGCGTTACTCCATAAAAAAGTAACTAATTACGTTACTTAGTTACTTTTTAGGGAAAGTAATGCGTTACGTTACTTTTGCGTCCTTTTTAAATCTGGACAGGGCTTGCTTGTTTGATTTTAAAATAAAAAAGTTATATTTTTGGCAAATATAAAAGCCTTTTCACACCAAAAGTGAAATGAATAAGCCTCAGGCTGAAGGCTTTTTTTGTGAGTGAGATGAATTGATGCATATTCATATTTATTTTGTAACTACAGTAACATCCTGATTTCTCAGCATGGGGAAAGGAGAGCTGTCAATCAATAAATTGAAAAAAAAAAGTAACTTGCGTTACTTATTTGAAAAAGTAAATCAGATATTCTCTTGTAAATTAAAAAGTAATGCATTACTTTACTAGTTACTTGAAAAAGTAATCTGAT